TACTACTACTACTACTACTACTACTACTACGACTACTGCGACTACTACTACTACTACTACTACTACTACTACTACTACTACTACTACTACTACTACTGCTGCTGCAGCTTGTATTGCCAATACCACTATTACCACTACGACTACCACAAAATTCTTCCACCTCATCCTCCTCATCCTCATGCACCTTCTCCTCCTCCCCCTCGTCCTCCTCCGTCTCCTGCTGCCCCCCCCCGCCATCACAATATTTCTCCCCCCCTACTCTTCCGTCCTCCTCTTCTCCTCCCCCCCCCTCCTACCTCCTCCACCTCCTCCTCCATCCTCCGCTCCTCCTCCTCGTCGTCCGTCGTCTCTCCTCCTCCTCCTCCTTCCCCACCCCCTCCCCCGTCCCACCGCTTCCTTGCCCCCCCCCTCCCCCCCCCCTCTCCGGCCATCCACGCCCTCCAGTTACTTACCCCCCGTCCTCTGTTTTCTCGCCCTCGCCCCCCGCGTGCGTGGAACAATGCGGATATACCCAGGCTTCTCATGGGCATCAATTACCCTGGCGACGTACCCAACCCCTGCGCAAAAGCGGGGCGCAAATAGTTTAGGATACTTTATAAGGGGGCGATGGCGGAGCGAGGGTTACATATGTCTGCAGACGGAATTCGGGAGACTCGCAGGACACTGGCTACAGGAAAAGGGCTTGATAAAGCTGATGAGTAACAATTCCTGAGCACTCCTAGCCACTTCGAAAACGGGGATCACAGCAGGCCTCGAAAGTGGCGACAGTTTCACAGATCGCATCACCGCAGGGATGGCGAGGTCTAATTTGGGTCCGCGCGTGGCGTCACTGTGCTGGGCCCCCCAGCAGGCCTCGAAAGTGGCGACAGTTTCACAGATCGCAGCCTCCAGGGGATGGCGAGGTCTCATTTGAATCTGCCCGTGGCGTCACTGCGCTGGGCCCCCCAGCAGGCCTCGAAAGTGGCGACAGTTTCACAGATCGCAGCCCCCAAGGGATGGCGAGGTCTCGTTTGAATCTGCCCGTGGCCCTCACTGTGCTGGGCCCCCCAGCAGGCCTCGAAAGTGGCGACAGTTTCACAGATCGCAGCCCCCCCAGGGATGGCGAGGTCTAATTTGAATCCGCGCGTGGCGTCACTGTGCTGGGCCCCCCAGCAGGCCTCGAAAATGGCGACAGTTTCACAGATCGCAGCCCCCCAGGGATGGCGAGGTCTAATTTGAATCCGCCCGTGGCGTCACTGTGCTGGGCCCCCCAGCAGGCCTCGAAAGTGGCGACAGTTTCACAGATCGCAGCCCCCCAGGGATGGCGAGGTCTAATTTGAATCTGCCCGTGGCGTCACTGTGCTGGGCCCCCCAGCAGGCCTCGAAAGTGGCGACAGTTTCACAGATCGCACCCCCCCAGGGATGGCGAGGTCTCATTTGAATCTGCCCGTGGCCCTCACTGTGCTGGGCCCCCCAGCAGGCCTCGAAAATGGCGACAGTTTCACAGATCGCAGCCCCCCAGGGATGGCGAGGTCTAATTTGAATCCGCCCGTGGCCCTCACTGTGCTGGGCCCCCCAGCAGGCCTCGAAAATGGCGACAGTTTCACAGATCGCAGCCCCCCAGGGATGGCGAGGTCTAATTTGAATCCGCGCGTGGCCCTCACTGTGCTGGGCCCCCCAGCAGGCCTCGAAAATGGCGACAGTTTCACAGATCGCAGCCCCCCAGGGATGGCGAGGTCTATTTGAATCTGCCCGTGGCCCTCACTGTGCTGGGCCCCCCAGCAGGCCTCGAAAATGGCGACAGTTTCACAGATCGCAGCCCCCCAGGGATGGCGAGGTCTAATTTGAATCTGCCCGTGGCCCTCACTGTGCTGGGCCCCCCAGCAGGCCTCGAAAATGGCGACAGTTTCACAGATCGCAGCCCCCCAAGGGATGGCGAGGTCTCATTTGAATCTGCCCGTGGCCCTCACTGTGCTGGGCCCCCCAGCAGGCCGCTTCTCATGGGCATCAGTAAAGTTCTGGGTTTGGTCTGGCATCGATCAATGCGTTGCGCTGGAGCACGGCCCACGGCGCTATTGATTGAGGGCAGGAGTGTAAGGCTTTGTCTCGTTTCTGAGCTAGG